ACATAACTACAAAGAGACAGAAAGACACTGGTTTCGCTTGAGACATCCTGAAACAACGTGTTCGCTTCGCTTGATGTTGTTATCTCAACATAAGAAGGAAGTAACTTCGATGGCGAACTTTTCCCGTGATAATGAAGTTCGGCCTCCGCGCCCCCGCGCCCCCGACCAAACTCTTATTGGTCGACGATATTCAACTCTAACGACTTAAGGGGGGGGGGGGATGCATTATTATCCTCGGCATGCGGTTAAACGGGCTGGAATTGCGTTTCCCGTAATCGGAATTCTGGATTTCGGGAAACGCGTTTTCCCAGAATTCGAATTCCGAATTCTGACACATGCTACTTCTTTTGAAAAGCCGCACTCGGAGGGCTGGAATTTCGTTTCCCATAATTCCGAATTATGGTGGGCGCAATTTGCATTGAAACAACGCACTCAATAGGCCGGAACTGCTTTTCCCATAGTTCAAATTCCAATTATGGGAAAGGCGGTTTCCCAGAATTCGAATTCCGAATTATGGGAAGCGCAAATTCCTTTGAAAAGCCGCTCTCGGGGGGCTGGAATCGCGTTTCCCATATTATCGAATTCTGGAGCAGTTTTCATTTGACACGCTGCATTCGATGGGCTGGACATGCCTTTCCCAAAGTTAGAATTCCGAATTTCGGGGAACACGGTTTCCCAGAAGCGCTGTTTCCCTGGATTTGAATTCCGAATTATGGGAAATGCAATTTCCGATGCCAAGCCGCATTCAATGGGCCGGAATTGCGTTTTCCACACTTTCGAACCACGAGAAACGTGACTTCCATCAAAAAAACGCACTCGATGGGCTGGGATTGCGCTTCCCATAATTCGAATTCCGAATTGCGTTTCTCCGAATTCGAATGTCGAATTTCGGGAAACGCGGTCTGTGACAAACCGCATTCACTGGGCTGGAATTGCGTTTCACATAATTCGAATATTGGATTTCGGGGAGCGCGGCTTTCCAGCTTTCGATGTTCGAATTATGGGAGACGCAATTTCATGTGAAAAACAGCGCTCGATGGGGCGGAAGTGCGCCTCCCATAATTCCGGATTGTGGGCAGCGCAATTTCCTACGGAAAGCCGCACTCAATGGGCTGGAATTGCGTTTTCTATAATTCGAATTCTGGGTTTCGGGGAACGCGGTTTCCCAGGATTCGAATTCCGAAATATGGGAAATCCTGTTTGATGGGAAATAAAAACACTCGGCGGGCCGGAATTGCGTTTCCCATCGTTTTGAATTATGAGAAACGCAATTTCAATTGAAACGCAGCACTCGATGGGCTGGAATTGCCTTTCCCATAATTCGAATTCAGAATTTCGGGAAACGCGGTGTCCCACAATTCGACTTCCGAATTATGGGAAATGTTTTTTGTTTCCCCGACCACCCTGTGGTGTTGGGTCTTCGTTTTGAAGAGACGGCGCCCCGCGTTCATCCTTCCTTCCTTCCCGCCCTCCCTCCCCCCCCCTCCCCCCTCCTCCCCTCCCTTGCCTCTGCTCTCGGCGCACCTCTCGCGCGCTTCGTAGCCCCATGGGGAGATCGACCGAAGGCCCCAGCGGGGGTGTCCGCATGCGGTTCCCCCACCCACGGCAGCGCTTCGTGGCCCCATAGGGAGCCCCACCGTAGGCCCCAGTGGGGGCGTCCGCATGCGGCTCCCCCGCCCAGGGCAGCGCTTCGTGGCCCCATAGGGAGCTCCACCGTAGGCCCCAGTGTGGGTGTCCGCATGCGGTTCCCCTACCCGGAGGTAGCGCTTCGTGGCCTCATAGGGAGCCCCACCGTAGGCCCCAGTGGGGGGTGTCCGCATGCGGTTCCCCCACCCAGGGCAGCGTTTCGTTTCGTGGCCCCATATGGAGCTCCACCGTAAGCCCCAGTGGGGGTGTCCGCATGCGGTCCCCCCACCCAGGGCAGCGTTCCGTGGCCCCATAGGGAGCTCCACCGTAGGCCCCAGTGGGGGGCGTCCGCATGCGGTTCCCCCACCCAGGGCAGTGTTTCGTGGCCCCATATGGAGTTCCATCGTAGGCCCCAGTGGGGGTGTCCGCATGCGGTTCCCCCACCCAGGGCAGCGCTTCGTGGCCCCATAGGGAGCTATGCTTTCGTTGTGAAATGAATAATAGAAAATTGCGTTCTTCATAATTCCGAATTGTGGGAAGCGCAATTTCTTTTGAAACGCCGCACTCAATGGGCTGGACTTGCGTTTCCCATCATTCGAATTCAGAAGTTAGGGAAACGCGGTTTTCCAGAATTCGATTCCTAGATATGGGAGGATCATTTATGTTGAACAACCGCACTCCATGGATTGGGCTTGCGTTTCCCATAAATTTGAATCATGGGAAACGCAATTTACTTGGGAACAACCGCACTCGATGGGCTGGAATTGAGTTTCACATAATTGGAATTTAGAATTTCGGGCAACGCGGCTTCCCATAATTCGAATCCCGAATTCTGGGAGACGCGATTTCCATTGAAAAACCGCACCCACTGGGCTGGAATTGCGTTTCCCGTAATTCCTAAGTGTGGGAAGCGTACTTTCATCTGAACAAAAACCGCATTCGATGGGCTGGAATTGCGTTTCCCATGATTGCGAAGTATGGGGAACGCAATCTCTTGTGAACAACGGCATTCGATGGGCTGGAATTGCGTTCCCCATAATTCGGAATTCGAATTCTGGGAAACTGCATTTCCTGAAATTCTGAATTCGAATGATGGGAAGCGCAATTCCAGCCCATTGAGTGCGGCTGTTCAAAAAGAATTGCAGTTCCCATAATTCGGAATTCGAGTTATGAAAAAACGTGTTTCCCGTGCAATGTGTCCTTGGGGCAGTCGTCCGAGATGTGCAGTTCCGCCTCACTGGGTGCGCTTTTTCAAAAGAAATTGTTTTTCCCATAATTCTGATGGGAAGCGCAATTGCGGACGACTGCCCCTCCTCCTCCTCCTTTTCCTCCTCCTCCTCCTCCTTTTCCTCCTCCTCCTCCTCCTCCTCCTCTTCCTCCTCCTCCTCCGCATCCTCCGCATCCTCACGTTCCTCCTCCTATGGTCCTCCTCCTCCTCCTCCTCCTCCCCCATCCTCCTCCTCCTCATGTTCCTTTTCCTCCTCCTCATCCTCCTCCTTCCTCGTCCCCCTCCTCCTCCTTC